CTAATACATGAAAACAATTAAAACATTTATCAGGAGACGCGGTAGCGTCTCCGGCCATGTTCAAAAACTGTGAGACGTTTAATTACTTCTGCGTTTAGAAATATATATATATATGTGTACATATAGTTATAAGTGTAAAGATGTTTACTGATAAAAATTTTTAATGTATCAACTTGGCAACACTGGTCAAACGATAAAGCCCTCAGTCTCAGTTGAGATCAGCAAAGTTCTTTTGTCTAATGGAGAACCTCCGACGTGATGAAGAAACTGATGTGAAAGCTACTGTAAAGTACCCATATGAGCAGTTATTTTGATTTATTTAAAAGTGAAAAAACACAGATATCATTAATAATAATACATCTCTTTCGTTAAGTATTAACAATAATAAAGATTAATATAATACGCGATCAAGTTAAAGATGTGACGCAATACGTGACGTGTGATATTCTATTTCTCTTCAAGGAATCCCCGACAGACATTTGCGTAGCGGCTGAATTTATCACTTTGTGACTTCCGTAAGTATAAGCTTTTTAATATAAAAAAATAACAGATATTAATCGCATTTGAGTCTTAAATAGATTTGATTTCTAAAATTTTGTTTTCTTATATGTAATTGTCATTACTGACAGCATATATTTTTAAATGACACACATTTATTAATTCCATCTTAAAACTATATTCTCTATTTAAATCAGTGTATTATCACTGACTTCAGTGCTATACTTATAACTGATGTAGTCATTATAGTGAATATTTTACTGTTTTTTCAGTAATAATATACTAATTTACTCTTAGAGGTTATAATTTCAAGGCTATGAATCATCATTTCTCAAAATGAATCAGTGTATTATTACTGAAAAACAGTAAATATTCGCTAATATTACAGTTATAAGTATATAGCACTGAAGTCAGTGATAATATACTGATTTAGTTTTAGAGAGTATATTATATATACTGTCTCTTCTCTTTACAGCAAAAAATTTCTCCTGTAAAAATAATATTTGGTTAGAATTAATTTATATATAATTAATTTTATTGTTTTTATACAATATTTTTTATATAAGATAATGAAATAAATGTAAGAAAAAAAGTTTTATTAAGCCATTAAAGAAATGATATATGGCACACAGAGTTATTGTGATATTTACACTATCAAGTAAAAGAAATTAAAAATAAATAAGAAAAAAATATAACAAGAAAATATAAAGAAGCAAAAAAACATTTATAAAATAAATATGGGTAAGTAATGCAATATTCTTTCAATATGATAATACATATAAGTTATACATTATTATCTTTATAGCAGACAATGGAATTCAAACATTGGATATATTTAACAAAATGCAAAACTTTCCACCATTAGATGTCACAGGATGTGACATTGGTAGAAATTGGTGTGCATGGAAACAGAAATTTTTATCTTTTCTGCAAAAAGAAGATGCCAAACAAATATATAAGAATCAATGGATAGTTATATTGTTAATGTTAATTGGACCACATGGAAAAGAAGTTTATAACAGACTTTTTCAAAATGATAATACAAAAGAGCTAGAAACAGTTTTACTTAAATTAGATGCATTCTTCATTTTTGGATTTAAAGAAAAGCAGAAAAATGAAAGTATCGACCAATATATTGACAGCTTAATGGTAAATTGAAATAATTTTTTACAATGCACATTGTTAAAATACGATTATAACATGTTAAAATTACAACACAACAAATACAGAATTAGTTGTACTTTTATGTATTTTATACTTAGTTAAAATAGTTATAAGAAATGTAATATACTAAACTCTCTCTCTCTTCCTTTCTCTCTAAAAAATCATATTTTCTTTTTTATTGTCTTCTTATTTTATATATCTTAAATTTACTTTTACCTAAAACTTCCAAGTTTTCTAATCGTTTCATGTAATCATAAATTATTTATATCTTTATAAAAGTATAATAGATATTAATCATATTGACAAAAGAATTTATGACTAAAAGAAATGATAACTAATTACTTATGTAAACATTAAAAATGTAAATAAAATTATTTTTGTATTTTTTTTCTTTTTTAATTCTTGTTAATAATATATATTCATAAATATTGTACGTTCTTTTATAGTTTGTTGCACAGACAAGCAATCACAGTAATCCTGTAAATATTGTAAAGGAGAAAGTCATAAAAGATATTAAAAATTACAATTTTACGGGACAAGCTATGCTTTTTATACAATCGAAGGGAGAAGGTCTAGAATCATATTTACAATTGTTGGAGCTTCATAAAATTACGCTATTTTGGAAACATTGCGAAAAATTAATGTCACCAAGGAATGACGAAGATACACAAATGCAGTCTTCTTCTAATCTGAAGTTTATTGAATTGGAATGCATTCGCTGTGGTACTTGTCATAATAGGAATCGTTGTCCAGCTCATGGATTACAATGTGATAATTGTAAAGGATACAATCACTTTACGAATAAGTGTAAAGGAAAATACGTGTCTAACTGTACTAAATGTGGAATGAATCACATTCAGTCACGTTGTTACGCTTTCGGCCAAACATGCGTAAATTGTGGTAAGATGAACCATTTCTCTTGGTTGTGTAAAATCCCTATTGTAAAAAATTGTCTTAGATGTGGTAAAAATCACGCTATATCTATGTGCCCTGCGCAAGGACACACATGCTCTCGATGTAATAAACCAAATCACTTTGAGGTAAAATGTTTGAGCAAATGAATAATGAACAAGAACAATATGCGGCATAAAAATTCTTTAGAAATGATGGTGGCAGTAGACAAGATAAACTGTACCCATTTTGATCTTATTTTTTTAATTATTAATTTTATATATATTAAAATATTAAATTTTATTAATTCGTTGAAATATACTTCCTTCTAAAAGTGAAAGTTAAACATTAAAATATTTTAACATTTTCAAAAATTAAAATTTTATCAAAAAAGGAGACCGTTTTCTAAGTTAATCAAGTAGTATGATCTTTATCTATTCCATGAAATTTCGTTTCTGTGACACAAGATTAAACTTTTTCTTTTATAAAAGAAAATAACACTTTTGATTATCAAGTTTTAATTCGAAATGCTTTCTATTTTTTGTTACATACAAATTGGTTTCAATTTCGTCCAAGAATTTATTTAATTAAAGTTGTGTTATCTTATTGCTATAAAAAACAATATTTTAAAATAACACGCTTATCCTAGTGCCGAGTCACTACCATGCTTTCTGATATGTATGCTTTTTATATTAACAATATTTTATTTTAAAGCTATCTAAACTATTCCATGTCAGCTTGATTATTTATTGTTTGTAAGAATTAGTTATAAAAAAAAGATTAATTTTTTCTAATGTAACACTAAAGCTTTTTATGTGTTATTAGATAAAAAATACAATCAATATAGTTTACATTTAAAGAAAGTTTGTAAGCAGACATTTAACGTTTAGACACTTAATTATATGTGAGAGAAACCTTTGTGAATGTTTGTATTAAATGATATAACATTAGATGTGTAAACAATAAAGTTTCTTTAAAATAAATTAGAGATTTTTTTACATAAATATTATATATTGTTACATTTTTGCGTATGAAATATGTATCATAATACTATTATATGCAACATTGTTTATATTTGTAAAATTATTAATAATTATTTCTCTATTTTTATTAAAAAAGAATAAATGTTATGGACTTACTTTACTTTTTTATAATTATTTTACTTTTATGTATATTATTATTTTATATGTATATTATATGTAAAATCTTATGAGGGGAGAAGAAGGAAAGAAATGTAAAAACAGTATAAAAAATGTGAATAATTAAATTTAAATTATTTGTCAATATTAGCTTCTGATAATTGTATTTCTTAAATAATTGAAAAAAAATTTATTTATATAGCGCACAATTTATTGCAAACAAAATTTAAATTATTTATCTTCATTGCTTCAGCCATTTTAAATTACGAAATGAGAGCAAAATGGCACAGCTGCTATATTTTCTGAATGTAGTCGGTCGGAAATGAATTGATCAAACAAGTTGACGTATGAAATTGATTGTGGTAACAATGCTCACTAAAGAAAGCAAAGCTAAACCAAGTGTAGGAATCTAGGCGGTCTTTTTCCCTCCCATCCCCTCTTATTATTTTAAGACCGTTTCAAGTGATGTCATCTTAAGATGCTAATACAGCTTTTTAATTAGTTCATAACATCTTAAGTATTTAACTAATTTTTGTATCGACCGTAAATTGTCAACACTTAAAGAATCATTTATACTGGCGATAATTTGTACAAATTGAAGTTGATTATTCCCTTTTCATTTGACTGTGATTGGTCAAGTCTTTTCTAGATTACGACATAAGTTAACAGATTACGGTCATTATAAATAATCCTTAAGATATTACCTAAAACGTGTTAAAATAAGAACGGATCGACTATGAATACTGGTCTTATTTTTCTTTCTTCAATCTAAGAAAGAAAGATGGGTGTAAAACGCATAAAGATTCTCTAGTAAGGAATGAGACAACGCGCCGGATGTGCCGCCATTCGAGGGCCTGAAAGAATTGCGGCGCGCTATTCGAGCTATATAGCACTGTATCATATGGCGGGATGACAGATTTCGTTTTGAGTGAATACGCGTCGAATGAGTACATTTTTATTAAGGTTTTAGGGGGAAGGGGTATTCTAATTACGTACAAATCAACTTGGCGAGCACTTTTCGTTTAAAGCACGGAAGTGTGTCCTTCGAATGGTGGCGACCAATCCGCAGCTTGCACACGCGTTGTCTCATTCCTTACTAGAGGATCTCTCTCAGAAGCTTAGATATCTCTTTCTCTCTCTATACATTTCTCGACTCTCGTATCCTTTCTCAATTCACGTTATGTCTATGGCTGAAGCGGTCGCACGATTGGCTGCGTTTTCTGAACGCATTCCCAATTTCCCAGTCTCCGTGCTGTCTGTCACCTGACGTACTACGCATCGTGTTCATGCCAAAGGTGGGGGGGGGTTTAGTGCACTGAATACAAGCAAAGAGAGCATCATAGCAGTTACTACTACTTACTTGCGGTGTTGCGGTCATCAGTGCTTCTCGCTAGCAACTCAACGAGCCCCACGGTCGACGGTGAATCACAGCCGGACGGTGAACGGTGAATATCGTTGTCGAGACAGCTTCTTTGGTTTCAATTTACTTGCCACGGACACGACGATCGATACGCCGAACTCGCGGCCACGCTCCAGCTATGCGCCTGTTCCGGCCAATGTTTATGGTCGTTGTTCACGTCGGCTGACAGCTGTCAATCCCTTGTTCGAGTCATCAGTGAGTCATCGAATCGGCAGCCGAGGACCACCTCAGGTGATCCCTCGATTATCTCGGTTACGGATTTCACTACCTGCGCACGTTGTGTCTTCCTGTTCTTTTTATTCTTTCTTTCTTTTTTCTTTTTTTTTTTGCGTTTTTTCGTTTCTCTCCTCGTAATTTCGTTTTTCAAAGATGCTGTCCTCTCGACTTCTTCTCCTCTCCCTTTTTCTCAGACGAGAATCCCACGAGACAGTAGCATAGATTGAGTGCTATTAAACTTCACGGACACCCGCACGGAACGAGACCAAGCCCTCCCGCAGATACCGCGCACGTCGCAACCTACCCTTTGTTCAGATGTCCAGGTATTTTTTGTAAGGACTCTTTTTTTTTTTTCTCTTTGCACGACACGCACATTCTTACAGCGGGTAGTGCTGCTTACGTCCCATGAGCGCGCGATAAATATGCATTATAAACCGGATTCTTGCATTACAGCGATATCACCGGCATGGCGTCTAGTTCCGTCAGCCAGGAAGACTTCGACAACGATTTTGAGTTGACGTCCAGAAGATCTAGGATCAGGACTGCTAGGGCCAGGGTGGGCCCGGCGAGGACAGGAGATGCGTCTTCCATAAGCTTTCAAAGTACGTGTTGATGGTTGCCGAAGTATCTACGAACATACAATTTAAGATTTCTGTTAGATTGTTTAAAATTTAAATAAATAAGTACATATATATTTTATATGATAATAAATCTAAATCTAATAAACGTCTTTATTAGATTTAAAATATAAATAAAATATATAAATTTCAAAGGTATCAGAAGGTTTGTGGGTCATCGTGTCATGATCCATTGCTAATTCAATTAGCAATGGATCACAACATCACGATAACTCGCAAACCCTCTTTAAAATAAATATCTGTGGAAGCTTCACAAAAGTGTACATATATATTTTTTTTAATATAAATTTTTACAAATTAATTTATTTTAAATTAGGTATCTAAAAGTTAAATATAAAAAGTATCTATTCTTAATGCATATTTAGCACTAAGAAAATATGTTTGGATTTTATTTCGTAACAGTATAAAGTGGTAATCAAACAGCTATTTTCATTAGAATAGTTATTAGTGCTAATAGCTTTGGAATAATTCTATGCATATATCAATAATACGAGCTAAATACTCAATAATGATTTGACTCAATAGAAAGATGATTCAAGAAATCACGTGTAATCAAATATTAATGTATAATCTTATAAATCTACTTCTGGTGTTTTCTATTTACAGAAAATACACCTGATGTGGAGGAATCACAAGGCGCTTACGATACAAACCCCGTGCTTCTGCCCGAACATGAAAACCCACAAAGCAAACTCATAATAAGGAAACAGGATAAACGTGTGACCGGCCGGTATGTAAATCGCGATCGCATGCGCTTACAAAGCTGATAGAAAACCAATAGAAACTTATTGTCGCGCTTGGAGTGTCCATTAGCCAACAGCATCTTTGATGCACGGATCTTTACGTAATTGCCTAATATACTTTCTGGATCTGGTTCTAGTGTCTTTAGTGTCGTATCCTGTTTGCACAGGCCAACGCATATAAACAAGGGGAAGCAGCAACGTGATCGACGGAAACTGCGAGAAAAACGGCGTAGCACAGGGGTCGTACATTTACCGTCGACAGAGGTTCGCCATTGTTATCATCAATCAGCCCATAAGTAACCGATCAAATTATAACGGGAGTTATAATAATCATAATGCTTCTAAAATTTTGAAAAAATTGTTCAATTATATTTGGTCTTCAAAATTATTGAATTTTTATACTGAGCTGCGGATTTGTAAATTATTGAACTTCTGGATACATACGTTATTAAAACTTTGCATTTTACGATCTAGTATTTCTAGATTTTTTAAATTTTGAGATTTTTTTTTAGTTATTCTTAAATTTCTATACAGATACACACACACACACACATACATACACATACACAATTTTGTTCTTTTATATCTAGAATCAAATTCTAGATTTTTAGCATTTTAGTTAAAATATTTGATAATTAAAAAAAAAATATTCAAATTGCTATTTTTTTCTTTTTTGCTTACCAAGCTTTTAATAAAGAAAAATTGATCTCATGTATTAGAAAAAGTCCATAGATGAAAGCAAATTATTATGTTTAGGTCATAAAATTCTCAATGAAATAACCGTCAGGTTACTGCAATTTCTTGTAGTTACATTCATAAAAATATTAATTTAAATAGGTAAAAATTTGTCATTAATTATAGTAAGTTTAGCATCATTACTACTTATGGGATATAGATCATTAGTTTTGAATGTTTAAACATTGTAAAAATATCTCGGACATTTGGTAAAACGCATAATTTCTCAGAGCACTGGAGGTAGTACGGGGGAAGACGAGGAGGAGCTTAGCGGCACTTGCCTTGAAACTAAGCACAACACGCATCACAATGAATTTCTTGATCACGAATTAATAGAAGTAAGTGCAGTCAATTCCATTTTTTACTTTTTATGCAGAATGTTCTGACAAATGCGCACATTGGAAAAGATTTGTATGAGAAGACCGAAATTAGTTTACACAGTTTTTGATGTACATTTTTTTTTGTAATTAAAAGTTGAGAGTTAATTTGTTATTAAAAATTATTATTTATTTTATGTATTGTCGTTATAAACAATCGAGAAAAAGTCATTAAGTCAAAAAGTCAATTTCTGACTATCTCGAAATAATTTAGTTGCAACTAAAAATTGCACAACAGAAGTTTCAATAAAACGCGAACTTTTAATAACGCCTCCGAATAATGGCTTTTCTAAAACTAACGATATATGTAATGATACATGGTAAGCAAAGAGAAATACTAAAATAGCAGCAAGCTAAAATTCTTATTAAAATTTCCTATTCTTACGAAGTTATTGATGTTTTAAAGTTATTTATAAATATATGCATTTTTGCAGGAGCGGAATGCCAGAATATATACACAAAGGCGAAACAAAAGGTATTTCACTCAAATTCACGTGTAATTAATAATAATGATAATTGAGAAATTAGCATTTTTATCATAGTGCAATGGCTATCTTTAACTATCTTTTTTAATGAATCTTAACTGATTTCTAGGCACTACCGTACTTCATACAGGTCATGTATAGTTAGGCACAGTTGGTAAGTGCGCTACGTCGTATCGGAAAAACCATAATTAGGCACGACCTGTATGAAGTACGATAGAGCTAGTAGAATGCTTGATTAATTGACTAACAAATTACTTAATCTAATACATTTTCCGAAAACCAATGTATATTCCCAAGTGCATTCCTAATTTGCATTCTCAACTGATAATACTCCAAATATATATTGACAGCAATATAAAACAGTAATAGTAACATGATAAAGTAAAATTCACAAAAGTAAAATTCAAATGTAAAAGACTTGTTGCAATACAAAGAATATAAAACACGAGATAATTGATCTTAAATGTATTTAAGACAAAAAGAGTTGAGAAAAGTTTAACTTTTCTTTAATTAATAAGAAATATATTTAACAGTCACGTTATGTAACAGTTTATATTGTCAGTTTATATTATTATTGTAATAGTTGAGAAATAAAATTACTCGTTTTTTTTTCTATTAGCATCATAAATTGAATATAATAAATTTTTGAAAACTTGATTGCAGTAATTATAAAATGAATAGCTCAGGATAAAATATATTAAGTCATCTAAATCAAAATTACGAGATATTTTTTTGTTTCATTTATATATAATTTAGTACAAATATTTTAAGTAATAATTAATATCTTCAGTCAGATATTTACTTGTAAAATCTTATGTGCTTACTATACCAATGTTACGAGATTCTTTAAAAGTTTTGAAATAAACAAAAAAGCAACATATATTTATACTAAAATTACAACACATAATAAAATACAATATTTGTAATTGCAATATTCTTTGTATCTGCATTGATGGTCGTGCCTAATGCGATTTATAAATAGTAGTATAAATGATACTAATGAAAACTAATAATTAATATCGGTACGATAAATGAAATATGATTTACATGCGATCATTGACGTTTTAGTCATTCTGATTTGGAGGCCGACGATGAAGAGTTCGATTCTCTTAATCAATCCGACAGCATTAATCAATCGGATCATGGCAATCATGAACCACAGACGTCTGTCAATACGACTGTTAGACCGCGATTACCAACGCCAACAGGCGACAACCCGCACGAAGTGAGTCATTAATAACTTAAGACAAAATATGCGCAATCGTGCATAAACTAAATTAATTTTACGAAAGGAACACATTTCGAAATTTTATTATTCTAGACTTGTTTTCTATTGTATTAATTAATCGTGTAGCTTGACAACGATAATCAAATATGCGATTTATAGTTGATTGAACGAGCGCAAGAGGAAAACAGAAGGCTGCTGTCTCTTCTGGAAGATCGGGACCATAAAATAATGGCGCTCGAGGCTCGTCTTTTAAAGCAACAGCATGAGTTGACTCTAGAACGAGATCGACTTCGCGAGGAAAATGCTACGTTGATTCGCGCAATGGCAGCATTAGCCAGTAACTAATCCTCTTCGTAGTAAAGATCACGCCTTTTTGGCTCTTTGCTCTTTACGATAATCGCCGAGCTGCAGGATGAGCCATAAGTCGCGCACCTTGCTGATCCCTTTATTATTATTCCTAGTTATTTTTGTTTTATTTGCAAAAACGATTTTCTTATCCTACGGAAATTTAATTTTTGCATCGTATCCCAATTCTTGATTGTTAGCAGCAGCCATAGGCTGAATGACTGAAAATTCGGTATTACGTTAACTATTTTAATCATTGTTGATATTGTATACATATAGTATATTTATGTAATATGAAATACAAAATAATTGAAGAATGATGTATTGCTTTCTCTATTCAATGTTAAATTAATAATAGAATCTCATTATACATTTGGATTTATGGAAAATCATCAAATTTATCAAAGTAAAAATTATATACACCAAATATTTAAATTATTTTTGTGATATACTGTTTGATTTCTTTTATTCGATAAAATTATTTAAGGATTCATTTTTCCTTTATCAAGTTTTTTTAAAGCTTTTTTTATGTATGTACGATTTATATTTTCAGTTTTTATAAAAAGTGAAGTCTAAATGAGGAAGAAAAATGGTACAGAAAAATTCTTTGTCATGCTTCTTTTTCCTCTTATTGGTGATTATAAAGCCGTAAGATAACTAAAAGTAATACATTATCGAGTCCTATTTTTTTTTTTTTTTAATAAAAGGCTGAGAATTTAAAATATGTAAACGCGAATTAGCTTGTGTAATGAAAGTTAAAGAAACTTAAATTGATAGTGATAAAATTTAGAGATATCTAATTTAATAAAACTAAAAGAGAATATATTTGCATTGCATTCGTGGTAATTGATCTTTTCTTCTGATGCATGATTTATGGATCATCCTAGGCAATAAGGAAGCTATACCTAAGTAGAGTAAACCTAACTTTAGTGCGTATCACAAATTGAGTCATTATAAATAAACAGATAATTCTCTAATCACAATGTTAGCTGCAGAAAGTATAAATATGTCTTTACAAGCTGCAATGCAAGTTACATTTTGTAAAAAGCAATAGCAATCCTCGATCTTGTAAAGATATTATATGACGATTAAATCACTTGCAGAGCTTCAATCGCAGGCACAGATCGCACGTTTATTATTGATATATTTGCTATCTTTATTGCCTATTAATTGCCATTTTTTTGTTTCAATATGTTTTCAATCAAGCAAAAGCTAGATAAATGCAACAGATATATATTGAAATCATGTGAAAGTGCCGATTACGACATAAACAATTTGAACTGTTTTCTATTGTAATAATTAAGAATGTACGTTCTATGTAAATTTTATACTTGCAACACATGATATAATGTAAGATTATTAATTATTTTATTATTTTATTACTATTAATATTATTATACCACGAGCCGTACAAAGTTCTATGTACATATAGACACGCAGATAATTCTATAGCGATGCATTTGATTAGGAGAAACTTCCGCGATGAACTTGTATGTAATACGCGGGACAATGTAACGAAAATATGTAAAATTGTTTAAAGAAAAACTTTTATTGCCAGCCATTCAGTGATTTATCGTACTCCAGTCCTCGTTCCTTTGACGTATTAAAGATAAGTAAAGGCTCATTTAAAAAAGAGGTAAGTTTCTCGCATTTGTTTTTCTGGTACACTCATTGATATAATCATTCTGCATGAATAATTGCCTTTTAACTATTTAATTTCCATTTAAGTTGTATGGTTTAAAGTGAGATAAGATAGAGAATCGCCCGATCAGTGACGTACACGGAAATGTGGCATTGAAACAGTCCCCAATGTGAACCGGCAAAAAGAGTTTGCATTTTTTATTCATAAAATAACTAAATAAATTTTTAATATAATACAATACTTGCACGCACATACGCAATATAGTTACATCTTTACGCTAATGTTTCCTAATCACTACATATATAGCTGTACATTACAAATCGTTGGGATCCGATCATACATTTGGGGTCTTTCTCACCCTCAAATCCGTCCCTATATACTTATATGTTCGCCCTTTGCTCTTATCCTTTCGAAATGTACGCTTTGATCTTTCGGGGATCTGTGTATCCCGTTATCGTAACTTATTTCACTAAAAGACCCCGGAAACAGTTCGACCCGTAAAGCTTTACGACGTATGATTTTCCAAAACGTTGTATAAAACTTTGTTAAAATACTTTATGTCGCATTTAAAGAGAAATATATCGATTGGTTCGCAAGAAGATACTTCCAAAAGGCGCAAACATCTCGAAAGGGCAAGCGGCCCTTCGCACACATCCTTTATTAACAATAAAAAAATACGACGACATGCAATAAATAATTGCTAGTTTGATTGTTTATATGACAAATGTATCTAACTATAAAAGAATATTTTTCAAGGTTGATACTAAAATTCTAAAATATTTTCTAAAGCCTCTCAAGAAGACTATAATTTTTTAATTAGCAGTTAATGCAAAAATGTCGATTGGATTTCAAAGACTAAATAAAATTCCAGTAAAATTTGTAAATAAATAAGATACGTAATAAAAAATAATAATGAATGAAACCGGAAATTAAATCAGACTGAGAAAAAACCTTTAAAAAAAATGAGTTTTATCGACTAAAAGTCGACAAAATAAGCAAAAGTATTAACAAGTGCATTTTTAAATTAAAAAAAATCTGATTTATTCTCCAGTTATTCTGTCCATTCGCTACAACGAGCTTCAAGGGAGAAATAAATCGCGTTTCAAAGAATTCAAACGGTCGATTAATAATTAACCGTTTTGATCACGCTGCCGTTCGATTAATGAAAAACGCTATAATTTATCACAAGTCGTCGTACTAATTATATATTGCCAGTGTCTCGATAAAACACATGCACACTTTGTGATGCAACAGGTACTACGCTTCTATTATATCAACCATCTTTTCTCCGTATCGCTGGCAAGGTAACTAATTGTTTATATCGTTTAATTGTCTATACCGTGCGCCTCTACGACTATTTTTTTTCAGTTCTCTGTCGTTTATCGCAAGGCAACGCTTCGCTGATATGTACCGTTTTGTTTCAAGATTGAATTAATTAACCGAATTCGTCGTTTCGTAGACAAAATCCTAAGGAACTTGGTTCTCTCTTTCCATCGTCATTCGCAACTCTCCTCCCGCGATTCGCGATATTAGCTTCATCACGAAGTTATTGTCGGCTGTAATTAAGTCATTATAACAAGGCGCCACCCGCGACCACGTGATATTTCATTGGTCGAATCGCGAGATTATTGTTTGCACGGCAGTAATTCTCGTCTACCACTGCAAACTGAGCTGTAAAAGTTGACGCACCTTCGTTTTGGAGCATTCGCTTGCATCGTGTTTGGTCGTATTTTTAAGAGCAATATTTGTCTGGACAAATGTGCATGGAGCGCTCATGTACAAATCCAACTAGAAACTGGTCCTTCAATTCCTATCTTTGCAAACAGAATTCCTTGCGTCTTACCGTCTAATAATTACATACGTTTTACGCGATTACTCTTCCCATTATCGTAGACTACAAGAGCATCTTGGCACTTCACGTGCTCGTCTCATTCGCATCATCGTACGTATCATCATCCCAACAAACGACTAGATCACGATGGTTGGACCTCAACCAGATCCTTAAATGCTAAGGGAGCTTAACGAACTAAGCTATTCTCAGTGAACGATATATTATTATTTCTTCTTTATCAAATATCAACCGCGCCGCAAATCGAAAATGCAGACGCGGACAGGCGAACTCCCTCGCTCTCGATTAATAGTCTCGATCGATACGCTTTATTATACCTATTGTTCTTTTCTCCCGCCATCATAGCGTTCTCTCTCTTTCTCTCACCATCGTTTTTTAATTTGTCTGCATGTATAATTGTTAACGTTATTGTTTCGATTTTACTTCGAACAGTTCCTTTCTTCCATAGAAGACTTATCATTATAAATTAACATTCCATTTTACGTGATACTGATGTACAGGGTGCCTCGAGAGAAGAAATACACTACAGCTCAAAAGTATTTGCCTACTACAAAATTTACAACCTTTTTTTCTAAATATAGATCATCTTATTTTAGAATAAAAAAACAATCGTACTTTATTTAAGAATAAAATAGATAATAAAGTATCAATTGCATTTATCAATTGCTCTTTACTGTCAGGTAAAAAGATGTTTAAGGTAAAAAGTCCTCGCCTTTGAGAAAAATATCCGTTAAACATAGAAAAATTGGTAAAATATTTTTTTTATTAGATTGCAATGTTGCAATGCTGCTGCTTTGTTCGGATATTTTAATTCCATCTCTACAATATTTCTGTAATATTGCACAGCGAGATACTGTAATTAAAAAATTTAGTAAATGGGCAAATATTTATGAGCGATATTGTAATAGTAGCAGAAATGCGCATACTCGAAAAAAATTCTGCTTTCTTCGCCATAATCGCATACATTTCATATTTTATGAGATACATTCCACTCTAAATAAAATTTTTGAAAATAATACAAAATAATTCTTTATTTGTCCACACAAAATAAAATGCCAGCTAAGAACAACTATAATACTATAAAAATATATTTCTCTTGGAATATTGTTTTTGCATCGAAATATGTCTCTAACAAAATTTCTTCGAACATGCAGTCGTGTATCTATCATGTTTAACGTTTATCGATTCCACGTTTATCAATCCGGCATTGAAAATTAATTGAATTGTTACTGTTCTCATTAACGTGACTTAATAGAAAATACATATACCGGAAATAGAATTACCTGAGATGAGACTATCATTGCAAAAGCATTATTGTTAGTCGAGAGACTAGAATCTCGCGATATTGTCCTCGCGACACCCCGTACATATCGACGATTTTATCTTCTCCATACGGAAAATAATTCTTTTACTAAAAATTCATGCCCGATTTGCAGGGGTCAATTGAGAGGCAAGCGTGTGTTTTATTAATTAAAAATTGTAAAAGTATATTACGCCTAGTAGGAAGATGAAGAACATTGGTTTTACCAATTTTGATTCATTTACTTTTTGTGCGTGCTACGCAGAGAGACTTAACCTGTCTCTTTACATTAATATATAAAAATTACACTTTTGAAGTTTAAAAATTTCGTAAGAAATCAGTGCTAACTATTCATGAATAATTATGTATGTTTAATATATTATTCCAATAGAAACTCAGAAATTTCTAACGATCGACATTAGAAACCATACAAATAAATTTTTAACGTTTTGTCCTGAGTTTCTTTCAGTGGTATACGAGCTGCCTATATAATCATTGGAATAGTCATTTCCGCCGATTTCGTATCTTCCTTCCTCGCATTTTCTTGCATAAATAATGCTAGACGATAGTCAATCGTTTAATGAGAAGCTCGTAGGCGAGCATTATATACGTTTCACTTGCCTCCCTATTGACTCGACCAGGTATTATGGAACACTGTGTGTCGTAAGTACAAGTTATGTTCACTGTTCGCGCGAACGTCATTTAAAAATAAATAATCGCGACGCGCTGCTGCTCGTTATCGAAGCTGGAAGCGAGCGTGGTTAAATTCTTTTTACGTGAAATACGCTCCCTGCCATATATTTTGTCTCTCCGCAGTAGAGAATCTAACCCGTAACTATCTTTTTTTTTTAATGTATGTATGAAGAAGGTACATCGCATTTTCGTAACGTTTACAAACTGATTTATTCTTGTATATGAATCGTACGGACTAATTTGCATTGGCACTAATAGAAAATAAAAAAATAATATAATCATTCATAGAGAGAAATCAAAATTTTTATAAAAATACGAGTATCTTCTTCACACTTTGTATCCCTTCGAGTCCCTTAATAAGTCGCGATTTGTCAGTTCGGCAGTTTGACTTCACCATTTTTAATTGAATGGTCGTTTCGAAGACCGGAATTCGGGAAAAAATGTACTAATTTAAAAAAAAGTTTAAGAGCCAATAATTTCTAGGCTAAAGAGCCTGAGTTGAAAAATGTGACAACCCAAATGTTGTGCAACGTGAAGATTGGGAAAACTGAAAATTCCGCGTTTCGGGGTATCGAGAAAAGATGCCGAGGGCACCAGTGTTCATATTTGAATCTTCCTAAAGTTGAATCCAGTATCTTCAGGCGATCGATGATCCCGCGAACTGCATTCATTATTCAGGTTTGTCGCGAAGAAACGCAGGAAAGACATCAACATTCGTTCATTCGGGATATGTTTGCGTCTTCGCGACGCACCGATTCCGGTACTCTCGAGAGAAACCAGAAAAAGAAGATACGAGAGAAGAGAGTGGTCTCAGACGCTGCAGCCAGAGGTGACCACCTCCTCGCTGTTCGGCTGATGACTCCACCTGCACTGGTGACAACTACCCGTCGTCGTCGTCGTCGTTGTCGACGTCGTCGTCGTCGTTGACGTTGCCGTCGTCGTTGTGGTCTCCTCTGGCGCAGAGTTAACGACGTCACCGGACGCTCGCAGACCCTGCTCGAGCTCCAACAGCTGACCCATGAAGTTCAGGTTCGGGCTGATGATCGGACGCGCGTTCTTCACCAGTTTGTACGCCTCCACCATCGACAGGCCTTTGTGTCGCATTATATAAGCAATCGCAATTGTTGCGCTGCGCGACACACCAGCTTGACAGTGCACCAATACGCTGCTTCCGGCTTTCCGCGCTTCCTCTGGAATAAAAGACAAATTACGAAATGATATAAATGCGTGTTTTCTTTTTCTTTTTTTTGATAACAATGTTAATGCAAAAATTATTCGAGCATCAAAGGAAAAAACCCATCAAAATTCTAATTAAAAAATACTATCAATTTTCAATTACAATAAAAAAGTAACTGCTATGATTTATTTCTAATTTAATAATCTTAACTTCTCTTAAAAAAATCAACACAAAGAAAAAAAACAATAGTATACATTTGGAAATTATTGGATTTAATTTCTTTTTAATCCAAAATAAAAAATAGTAATAAATATTTTCAGATGCTTTATTGCATCCGTAATTATTCAAGATACATGTATAGCGATTAAGAACATATATTCGACGTTAATCTACAAGACGTAGAATAACACCAAATATACGTTGTCGCTTTATTGCAGTGTTGAAAGTTTACGTTTATGTTTAGTTTGGGATTTAAAAGGGTTTCAAGATTCACTGGATTGCTTTGTGCAACGCATACTTTTGAAAAATATGAACAAGTCGAGCTCATAAACGTTGAAGCGAAACAGTCATGAAACCTGAACGACCGACTCAGGTTATGCAATATATGGGGGACGCTATCGTATCGCCAGCGTGAGTCACTGCATCGCCCGGATCCTATGCAGACTATGCAAACGTTATGTCGTTCGCATCGCGAGAAAATTCGACTGCATATGTCAAGAGTTGACCGCATCTTTCGAAAGATAGACTTTAACCTTGCATTTCGAAATTTTACTAGACCTTGATAACAATCCGAACGCTTTTAATATTTACAGGATAGGAAAGCTATTGTAGTGACGTTGAGAAACAGTATCATATTTTGAGACGAGAAATACAATAAAATATAATAAATCTTACTCAAGCAAAAGCTGTAAGAAAAAAATAGAGTCCCTCTAATAAAGTTTAAATCAATCTTAAAAAAAAAAGATATTTTCTACGTTTTCTTGAACAGCCACGTGTTGCAAAAAATTACATGGTCTAGAAAATGAAAAAGGAAGAAAGATAATTACGTAACTTTGAATCTCTTATTAGACTTACAATTTTAACAATAATCTGAATACTTTTAAGTCTATTGTAATAAAAGAGGAAGAAAAATATTCTTTAAATTTCTTTACGTTTTAATATTATTATATCATATTTATATCGATGAGTAGAAAATTATAATATCGATGTAATTGTTAATTTGTGTTTAACACGTGAAAAAATATACAGTAAAAAAATCGCAAGTTTGGACAAAAGAAAAGAAAAAAAAATGACTACTCGAATTTGCGATTAAGTGAATCACGATGCGTGAAGGAATGAGTTTCTCGAAAGTAAACTTCAGAATCGAATGCCGACAGCAACGGGGTGCAGAGTCGGTTTATTCAACCGGCATTCCACCAGTTGCACGTTCAGAGGGAGGCCAGTTTTCCCTCTCCGTCTCGTTTCCATCCCTCTCTCTCTCTCTCTTTCTCTCTGTTGTCCCTTTTCGAGCCCTTACAATCGCCACGCACGACTGCCGCTCTGCTTCCCTTCCATGCGTAATTCCTTTCACTCTCCTTTCCTCTCTTCTCTTCTCCACGATATGCGGTGCACGCGTAGAACAGCGCGTAAACGCACGAGAGAAGGAATCAACATCAAGGATAAAGGAAGAGAGAGAAAACAGCAGGGTCAAAGGGTGAAGGGGGAGATCTCTTACGTTTCACAAATGCGCGCGCGCGCGCGCATGACTCATGCCTTCATGAATGGAAGGTTCTTCTGGTCTCCTGCCGTTCGGGCGCTCTGGTTCAATGGTCCACCGGAAACGCCTGGTTACACCCTGTTTCCGTCCATGGGCCTACTACTGCTTGCCGCAAAATAACGGAATGAACGCAACGGAGAGAGCGACCGGAAGAAGGACGGCAGGAAGTGTGCCGTCTGTGTAATCGTGGAAATTGCGACGATCATCGCATGGATTCGCGATATCGTGAATCAAGGAATGGCGCGTCGACTTTGAATTAGTTAATGTTTTTAAATTGCGTTTCACATAGAAAGAAAATGTTCCTGAACAATTGGTAGAACGACAGTCACTTTCTCGACAACTTTCTTCGAATTCTTTCAAATTACAAAGTCTGTCGTTTTTAAGAAATCAAACAGAAATGACACTAATGTCAAATACCATCGTGATGCTTTGCAATTGAAGTATAAACACGTGAAAATAGTCTACGCATTCCTATAAAGTTACCACTATTGGTTTAAAAAGAAATAGCTTTCTCTGTAAAAATAGACGAAAAATGTTGATAGAATTGAAGAGAGACACTACGATATGTTCAATTCTCTCTAATGGAGCAAGATGTTTTCTAACAAAACATATAAAAATATCCTCAAAACATCTGTAAGACATCTTATGTCTCCTTTTTGAACATACTTGTTATTTGGGTATTTATTACGTTTCGGATTCTAAAAAAAGTAACAGTTTTTTCGTTTAAATTTAAACTCTTATTTAAATAAAAGAGAAAAACTTAAAACAATCGAAACAACAAATTTTACACTCACCGATAAATTCGAACGCTTCTTCGAAGTACTGCTTGAGGTTCTGATGGCCGGAGTCCGAGGCGGGTATCTGCCTGTACGTGATACCCCGCTCCTCGTGGTAGCCGGGCAATTGTGAGGTGACGTTCAGCACCCGGGTGGCGCCGAGAGCACGTAGTAGCTGCAGATCGGCGGCATCTCTGCCGTTACCGAGGTACAGAAACGGCAGCACGCGGGACGCCGGGTGGCTGTCGATATCAGCCGGCTGCGGCGTCGGCGGGCCGGAGATGCTCAGCACGGGACAACCCGGTCCAGGGCTCGTGCAGCCGCTCACCGTCGTCGTCGACGGATCTGCGGCTGCGGCGGCAGCAGCTGCAGCAGCGGCGGCGCCGTTTGGCAGAAGTGTATCCTCGCACAGCTCTCGGTGCCGCCTGTGAAACTCCCGGTGTCCACCTAAAATATTCGATAATTAATTAATAAAAGATATATCGTTTTATTATGTATATTATATAAATATGTTTGACCGTATTTTTAGTGACTCTTCATATATTCTTGTTGTTTATGTAATATATATAATAATACAATATATAATATACGTCGATATATATTTATGCTGATTCAAAATCTTAGTGCTTAAAATTTAGACTCATGATAAATGTGAGAGAAAATGAGACATCGATCGATATTTTTTAATTTTTGTTTAAGAAGGCTATTACTTAGTCTCGTAAGCAGCTCGTTTTTAAGAATATCTTTTTTATTTTGGTTCAATTGTTGAAGGATATTAAAATATTCCATGGGTACCTCTTGCGTTTTCAAAAGAACAGTTCCATTCCTAAATTCGCACAATACGAAAATTAATGCGAACGAAGTCAAACGTACTTGCTTTCGAAAGTATATATGGAACATATACAACGCTGGTCGTCGATAAACAATGAGTACATGGTCGGTCACGATTCTATATCTGTTACAAATACTAGGAGAAACGTCGAGAGCCAACTTATTGATTAACTCGGATATACACGTTCCGTATTCCTAAATAATTATAACACACTCGTGCGGTTCTCGCTATATATATTTGCAGATCTTATAAATCGTCTAGAGAATCATCATTCATAATCTTCAGAGTTTTACAAATATAGATGTTTTTTTCTTTTGGTAAAAAATATGAGAGAAAAAAAACAATATCAATTTTTCGCATCGTCAGCTTGACGTTATCTCGCGTTGGTATTTATTTGTATATCTGGAAAGGTGTATAATCTTAAACCACATATGGAAATCAAGATAAATATTTAATGAACGATCAATGAGATAAATTAATTAATTTATTTATTGGATTATAAAGACACATCTTAAGCGTCTCGTCTATATATCTAGAAAATCAGAAATCTTAAAAATCTTGATATTCATAATATTCGATTGTTATATTTAAAACTGTCTTAAGTATTGTTTTAAAATATCATGAGCCACTCAGAGGACTGTATTAGTATCTTAAGATATTACTTAAGACGATCTTAAAATAAGAACGGACTATGAAAATCCTTATAAATCTCAAAGAATCTAAAACTTCAGAAAGTCAGTCATTGCGCTAATTATAGAATCTTGAAAACCTGACATTCATTGTTTGAAATTCTAGAAATGTGAAGCATTTGGAAGAAGATCAAAAGATACAAGAAACGATTAAGACTCTAGAAATCTAAAAATACAAAGAGTCAAAATTTAATTATCTCGAGATCAAACGACCGAGATATTCGAGCAGAGTGCAAAGTCTCATATGGATATCTAACGGATTAGAAAAGCTATAAATTTCGCAGAGAGAGGACTCTCTGCAGTAAAGGCACTCCGCAATTAATAAATACGGAGAAAAGAAGAGTCTACGTCGCAATTGTTGCGTATATTACAATTAATAGTAGCGCAATTATCTTTCATTTCGTGGAAAGTCAATTCATAAAACGGTTTAGCTTACATCTTTTATATTTCAAGACGAGATCTTGGAAACTTGAAGAGACTCCGAAATGTATATATATATATATATATTTATATCAAGAGAATAAAAGATTCCAAAATGTATGTATATATTTATATAACAAAAGAAAAATCCGAAGTGCTAGACTTTTATGAATTATTCTCTACGGCTTACGTAAACGTCAATTGTAAAAGTCACAGAAGCAAGATCCAAGATGAATCTCAGAGGGTGATACATCTGAAGACTTCCAGTTTGTGACAGCGATACACAGATAAAAAGGAGGGAGTGAGATAACGCGATGGCGCGGAAAAAATGGGCGGAAAGGAAGAAACGACGGGCCAAGAATAAACGGCGGCGGATAAAAATAAAAAAACGCCGTGAACGCGAAAAGGAGAGAGAAGGCGAGGAAGAAATGTGGGCTAAAAGTGTCTTCCTCTCCTGACCTGCGGCTGCTAAGGCCTGGCTCAACGATGACTCACTCGTTAGCCCCTCTCGTCTCCCTTCCCCCCCACCAGTCGGTTGGCTCTCGCGGCCACCAACCCCAAACTGTCGTCGCCAATCATTATTCCAACGTTGGCAAAGCTCCTTTCCGATTTCAAATCCAGCTCGCGATACTATATGACTAATACTGTGCAAAATGGTCTGTGTTTTGAAACGATTTTCCGAAAGATTCCCAAAAATAGAAGAAAATTTCGTTGTTCCAATATTAGCAGAAATCCGATTTCATAATTTCCGCGCGACAAAGATTATTATTAAAAAAACGAATTATACTGATATATAACATATAAAACATCACTTTTAAAAAATAATTATTTAAAAGAACATATATGTAATTTCTATTCTGCAACTTCCATTGATCTAGTTTCCGTATATCTAGCTTTCACTGGTCTGTGAATTTTCATGCTACGACGCCATACATTATTGATACTACGCATTCTTTGTAATTTATGTGCAATAAATCGCAAATTTCATAAATTACTAATTAACTTTATTAAACAAAATCTAATTGCTAATATAAATATTTCGCGCGGCATAATAAATTAAACTTTATTTAATAAAATTAATATAAAATTCTTAAGCAATGAGATATTAAATGTTGGAAGCAAGAAGTCTGCAATTAAATATAAACTTTCAATTAAATTTTTAGTGATATATCTGAAACATTTATTGCGAGTAAGATGTGACATTTCATAAAAATAAAAAAGCAAGAACTTAACGACATATTGCTATAAAAAGAAGAAATTGGAGGATGAAGTTGAATCGAATATAAGAGATTAAACATTCAAAGCGATAAGTCGTATGATCGTCACGGAAAAGTCAAATGTGGGTTACTTTATTTAGGTCGGTATAGCGATCGAGACGGTGCCGGTGGTGCGATTTATACGATGATCGCGCAACGGTCGTCGCACCCGATGGAAATCCTGTTACTTAAACACAACGTTCTTAAGCAAGAATTTGAAACAGCGATTTCACACGCGGAAACGTTCTCGTTTACAGCTGTGGAATTCAAGTTTTTATTGATCCCAAGAATTTTTGCGATTATATTACGATCTTATCGAAAAAGGGAGAATGCCGAGAATACAACCGTGAAGAAATCCCAATGAAAGCAAGAGTAATCGAATATTTACGCGAGATACAAAGTAAGTAGGTACAAGAAAAATATCAGTTTCATAATTCTCTCAGATTAAGATTCTGCTAAAGTTAGCGAAGAAGTTTGGTTAATAATAAAGAGCCGCTAATTTTTTGTAGCTCGATGATCATCAACACCAAGTCAAAATTACAGACAAAAAAAACAGCAAAATTAATAAGAGAACGCAATTGATTTAATGTTGATAATTATTAAGCTGAATAATTAAAGGACAGTTTTTAAACGAAGTTAATTTTTTGCTAACTTTAGTAGAAGTATATAATCTGAGATTTGGAAACAATATTTTTTATCATTATTTTTTTTAATACAAAAAAGAAAAAATAATACAATATAAGACCTAGTTTTAAAAAACCATCTGAAATAATTTTAGCATGCTTTTTACGCAAAAATCAATATAAATAAATAACATAATTAATTTTTTGTATATGTAGAATAAACGAATGCAGCTTTTTGCGATTAATAACATTTATGACATAATTAGTTAATTAAGTATTGATTGAGAGATATTAATAAATATATTTTTATAAATTTTTTTTCTTTACAAATTGAAATATGCCAACTATATTCAGTAATTTGTAGTTTTAATCATACAGTTTAATTGGAAAAATCATCGTCAAAAATGATTAAGAATCAAAAACAAGTTGAAAGGAAGAACGATAAGCATTTGTATAAACATGTTTACAAAAAATTTCTTCAAGAATTTAAAATTTTACATACGTAAAAATAAAATCTTTTGAAACAACCTTAAAAGACAAGATCTATAATTTTTCAAGAATTATACATACGAAAGTATCAAAATTTAAATCTATTCAACCAAAATAGAAATTTTTAATTTTTTAGACGAATAATCCAAATTTTATCCACAAATTTTAGTGCTTAAAATTTACATGCAAGTTTCGCTATAAACATTACACAAAAAATAAAATATTTTTGCTAGTATACCTTACTTTGGAGATATCCTGTAAAGAATTTGCCAATTTAATTAACAGAAACATTATTTTATATATATTAGAAAAACTCTGACAAAATAATATCCACATTCCGCTGGACCAAGTATGACATCATCAAGACGATGATTCAGAAATACAAAGTCAAAATAGTAATCACTTAGTAATAACAATCAAAACAACAACTGAACTAACTGATGAAGAATGTAAATTAATATAATCATAAGTAAAAAAAAAATCGTCGCGTTTTGATCAATCAAAATTTAATTGATCAAACGGCACTTTTTTTTACCTAGTTAGATTGCATTCTTCGTCGTTGGTCCGGTTGTTTTATTAAATGATTAATAATCTCAAAGAGTTACAATTAGTATCGATGCATTTGAAATACTTTTATGTTTTTATTTATCACAAGTCCTCGAGGGACTTTCCCCGGGGCGCTATGATGTCATGCGCACACTTATGCGCGCGAACGGTATCTTATATTCATATTCAAAAAGGAAATCCATTGAAAAAAAAATAACAATGGTTCGTGACTAACGGGAATCAATCTAACTTACTCCAAGAATCGAGATTCTCGAGCGGCACCAGCCGGAGTACGAGGCAAGGTGCGTCCTTCCTGATCCTCATGTTTATTTAAAATTAATCCTGGATGCAGACTGTCCCGGCCGCCTGATCTCACCGCACCATTTGACACAGAACGTTCAACGAGACGGACAATCTTCAGTGCAAGGACACGCCAATCGCGTGGCGCAAGATATATATATAATTTTTTTTTTTCAACGCGCTCTCTACTTCGTATTTCCTCGAGTGCGAAGCACTTCTCGCGACGGTACCACGATTGGCGGGAGACTGCGAGCTGAACGGCACGAGAGAGTTTACATGAGGCCCCGTCCGC